TGCATCTCTCCAACTGAAGAGAAAACCAGTTCATCAAAAGCGAATAAAACACGGGAGGCAGGGAACAGAATGGAGGGACAATCTAGCGGAGGGAAAAAGAAGGGACAGTCACCCATGGAGATATCAAAACGGTAAGGGTGTAGCGGGAGATAAGACAATCTTAGATGCACGCATAGTTGGGAGCGTACGCATCCTTCGGGTATGTACAATGTAGTTTCGGTGGTGTAGAGGAAAAGGAGATACGGTGCAGGAAGGCAAGGCAACGAGCCAGCTCGAAGAAAACGTGGGTTAACGGACGGACTGTGAGGTCTCGGGAGTGGTGGTGGTAGTACTGCTGCCGGAGAAGAGGGTCGTTCAGGGATCACGCGCAACTTCACGGATACTTGCGTGTCAGTGACCCACTGGAGCCATCGCGGGAGGCATAACGGGTGTTGCTGTCTGCCTTTTGCCACTCCTACAGGCAAAATTGGACGTCTATTATTCTTCCACAGCAGTTTAAAAGTCGTCTTATCCAAAAAATCTACCCAGGGGGACGACCAGGTCTTCGGGCAGGAGATGCGGTTCCTGAAGCAAAGAGGTCTTCTGGGTTTCCTTTCCTCCGTTTTATCATCGTCCCCGTCCCAAATTGCGGCGTGTCGGGGTCTAGCATGTAGATAATAATGTTTACCTTTCTCAACAGCATAGGTAGTCATTCCTTAACCAGATAACTGTACGAAGACCATACTGAATAAGAGCAAGTAAGCACTCCATTATGCAAGGAAAGAATCTGGTGGATGAGCCAGACTAAAAATGGTCTACCTGTGGAGTCTTCAGGGCGTGGCCTTCTCGGTCTACCTCGACCTCGACCAGAAGGTCCTATGGAGCTAGAAGGTACATTTTGGTTAGAGGTTCCCAGCACATGGTGATCAGAAGCGTCCGGATCGAGACTTGTTCTATAGGCTTGTAAGGAAGCCCACTCTTCGCCAGAGGCCTGAGGAAAGACCTAAAAATGGCAATCAATAAAGGTAAACATCCTGAAACAATATAGCATAAAAAGACGGCATGCTCACCCTGAACGTGTAGCTTGATATGCTGCGCTTATCTTGTTGCAGTAGTTTATTAGAGAACTCAGCCATGATCTCGAGGAAGAGGAGACCGGTGGGAATGGAGCGGATATCGCCGGCTGCAGCGTTGACCGAGGGAATGGTAGACAGGACAAACTGAATGCCATCCGAGTGGAATGCTACCATGGCCTCGCGAATTTTGATCAAGTCCAGACCGAAGCTGAGATTCAGCCGTCGTGCCAGCTCGCGCAAAGCCTGGAAACCATCGGAAGCGCGCTCCAATGGACTCCCCTAAGGTACATAAGTTACGCTTGTTTATCCTCCAAAAATTTATGGAATTTATGGCATTATGGGAGATGAAAATATGAGACATTGGTGTTTTAATCAACTTCAGCAGTCTACGTTGCAATTCAATAAGTCAATCAAAATACAACTTCGAGTCTTTTCGGTTATATAAGACCGTATAGCTCAGAGTGGGCTTTGAAAAGTGCAGCACAGAACCAATAAACAATCGAATTAAGCAAGCATCTGACATAAGTAAATTAATTCAAATTCACTTTCGAATTATAGATTGATCCCACCTTATAAGACCAGAATACTCATTACTCAGAATTGAAGTAGAAAGTGAATCACGAACCGAAAGTCAAAGTAGAATTGCAGATGTTAACAAAGCAACTGATCTGGATTGAATCTGAATCCCATAAGGCAACGACATTTAGTAACTAAACAGATTGAATTATCTAAATAAACAGTTACATGATTTTGGGCCATGAAGTTTTCGCAAGAAGAAAGCAGTGCAGATAGTCAAAACCGTTTTCGACAAATACGCAGCGAATAATATGACGCGCATGGGCACAAACCGATAAGCTTGGAAAAAAGACATGACACACCTGACAGGCAGCTTGTAGTTCGCTAAATCCCAACTGCAGACAGTAGACAATCATCTTGGCGGTATGAACACGGTTTATTTCACGCAGCTTTCCCAGGGTCGATTTCATAATATCACCAAATTCTCCATGGAACCGGATGTAGTGCCGATAAAGAGGAGCTGCCGACTTAATTGGAAGGAGGTTGTAGACAACCAACTTACAGAAACCTGCCAGTTGGATCCTCCGCTCATGCAGTGCCTCAAATTTAAGGTTTTCATCCTCCTCATCCTGAGGAAAGACAAAGTTCGGGATGTGACATTTGGAAACCAATACATATGCAAAGGTTAAGGGGCAGAACCCACATCAACGAAGACAAAGGTCTCGAGAAATCGTATAAGACCAGCCTCGATGGTAGAGTCAGGAACGTAAGATAAAGACTTGATGCTGGGTTCTGTGGTGGCAAGATGACGGGAGAATGCCACAAGAAGATCACAGAGGGACAGGTAGGCCTCAGTAGCTAATCGCTTGTTATCATTTCCCACCCACTTTGTACACAGGCACATGTAGTTGTCCAACATCTGACGCAACTCATCAACCTCTTCCTTTACCGAGGAATAGGCACATAAATGAGTCAGTGAGTCAGTCGAATAAAGACTTAGACGAAAGCTATCAAGATTTGGCTTAAAGTAACCTAAGGTAGTAAACATATTCGGGCATACCTTTGGAGGGTCAGGCTCGCTGACGTGGGCTAGTCGCCAGAGGAGAGATTTAGCGCAACATGCGATAGCTTGGGCTATAATCTCGGGACTTGCCTCATCTGGGGCACAGCTCACTATCCTGATGAGACTCTGCCATAAGGCAAGCCCGTTGAGGTCATGACAGCTAAAAATGAGAAAAAGTATGCATCTACTACCCGAGTTATCCTAGACATAGCAGAATTTTCAGGCAACTTTTAAAATTCCTTTGACAACTATCTGAATTTTGTTGAGAAACAAAAGAGCAGCTTGTGAATGACATGCAAGAGACATAGGCGCGTCCTGGCCGCTATCCAGCGGTAATGGTGAAGGCCAAGTACCCACTGTAAGGCGCACGCAGCACTCCCAGAGACATGAACAAACAGCCAAAGTCCAACTGGAAAAGGTGTATACAAACACCATTGATTGTATACCTTTTGGATGTTGGTCTCGCTTCTTCTCCTTGATCTACGCCGCAATATGTTTCTGGTTCAAACAAAAAAGGAATAACTTACGAGTAGAAGGCGTAGATACGCTTGAGCGCGGAGACAAGGTGAAATTCATCGTCCTCATCAGGTTCATCACCCTAGTCGACAGAGTAGCGACATTCAATAAAAGCTATGCTTAGTAAACTATGCCAAGCAGGAGATGACTCACTTGTTCATTGAAGTAGCTGAGAAAGGCACGACGGTAGAGATCGGTGAGCCGGTCGAAGAGAGTGCCACGCACAGTCTGACAGTTAGCTGCGATACTCAAATCATCTTGGCACAACACCTCATAAACTCTTGAACAGGCTAGCAGGGTCTCTGGATCCGTGTGTCGCTCAACTACGCGCTGTTGAAGAAAGTGTTGATAACACCACACCGTAAGTCCAAAATTGAAAGCACTGTGTTCAAATAAGAAGGATGCATCCACACGTCAAGCCTCAAAAATGTAAGTCTTGAGATCAATATGAAAAATGTGCTCATTAGGAGGATGAGTAGTAACCCCATTAAGAGCCCGTGGGGAATCACCTAACGGACAAAAGGAGTAGGTGTGATACGGCGGGAAAACCGCAAATCTACCTCAACACACTGAAGGAGAAGATCCAGATGGCGTTGGTGACGCCCAGTGGTATAGATTTCGAGGTCCATGTAGCGGGGGATTTGAAGGAGAGAGGCAGCTCGCTCAGCGGACTCTCCAAAACGGGTAAGGAGGGGATGTAGAGCAGGAATCATGGCCTCAGTCATGCGAGCCCT